GAATCGTTCTACAAGAGCTAATCCACGATGACTATAAGCACCAATTACTCGAATTGTGACATTATGCGCTTCCATTAGCTGACTTACCGATTTTTTGAATTCCGTTCCGCCATCACATTGTAACAATTGAGGATAGATAAGGGGGTTATTAGGGTTATCATAAATTTTCTTAAATGCTTTAGCAACTTCGGAACTATTCTTTGACGTTAGGGGAACACTTGCCTTGAACCTGCTAGCCACATCTATAATTTGTAATACTGCTTTCCATGTCTTCCCCTTATACTGTAGTATCGAGTTTCTCTGTATTTTTTTATTATATTATCTATTATTTGATATGACGTATGTGAAAGACCTTGAGGAAGAAATACATCATATCCTCCAATCTTCTTCTAAATTTCGTAACTATAACAGTGAGTTGCGGGATAAATACATAAAGCAAGAGGAGAATTTTGATCAAGAAAGAAAGAGATGGGATCGGGATAGAAAGAAGTGGAGTAAAAAACTGGGAGGGGCTAATACTGAGATCCAGAAATTACGCACTCACGATCTAGAGCTTATTAATGAGACTAGACGTCTACAGATTGAAAATACTCGCAAAGATATCTCTCTTGCGGAATCCAAGGCTAAGCATGCTACAAAATTAGAGGAGATTAAATCGCTTCGGAATGGGATGAAATTATTGAAAGATAAGCTAGATTTATCTCAGAAAGACTCATCAAAGAAAGGGTCCGAAATCGAGTCTCTCAAGTCTAAGATAGTTGAATTAGCTTTAAAAATTAGTGAATTGGAGCGTCTGAAACCTGAGGATATATCGGGATCTATAATCGGTGGAGATGATAAGGGGCAGAGCCCCATGACTCGAAGAGTCGCTCTAAAGGAGCTTGTTTCCACAATAAAAAATACGCAGAGCGAGGAACAAAGTTCTATATCGAATTCTAGTAGGGGCATAACCCCGTTGCAAAGCAATAATATTTCTACTGTTAGCGGTTCTAATAAAAATCTCAGTAAATATTTTGTACACAGAAAAAATATGAATCCAATAGAAAAAATCGATGGCGAGATTACCGAAAACTACCAAAAAATGATACCGAGATCAACCCCAAGGTAAGCGATAAAACTAGCATTAGCGAAATTAGTGAGGATATTACATCCCAATTTCAAGAAATAAAAAGTGCGAATCCATACCTTACTCAACGGGGAAATAATAGCGGAGCTAGTGCTAAACCACATATGTCCTCTTTGATTAAATCGAATGCCCAGATGAGACCTAGTCTCGAGGCTTTGCCTCTTCCTGCTGTGGCAAGCACTTTAATGTCACCGCTATCGGCATATATTTTTCTTGCTCTGTTAATTATTGCGGTTGTGTGGTTTGTGAGACGCACATGGAATATAGGTAGGCTCGAAGCGCCATTGCTCCACAGGCCCGAAGGAGCGACTCTAAAGGGTCATAAAAAAAGTGATCGATTGCGGGATATGTGGATCGGGTAACCAAGACTATCTATATGAACTTCATCACTCGATTCTGGATATTTTATATAAAATAACTATTAGTTTTTTTCGAACTTTAGAGAAAAAAGAAAAAAGAGCGCGAGAGTATGAGTGAGGCCGACTTCTTAAAATATAAGCAAAATTTTGAGACTAAGATAGGCGTAACTACTACTCCGCATAGAAAAATAAATCTTTGGCACTCATTGAATACGCATAATTGTTATAAATCTTTCAACAAAGCGGGTATAAGGTATCAAGATAATATTATCTAGTTAAATAGTAATTTCTGAAGGAGAGAGATTGCTACATTTGACTAGCCATATATTTTGGGTAAGGGGATTTTTGTCACCTCTTACAATAACTAAGAGAAAAAATTCAATACTTCGATACCTGAATTATACAAAGAGGGTTTTTGGGTCGCAGTGGGCAGATCCAGGTCCCGATTTACGTGCCTGCCTTATTGAAATTTCACGTAAGTGCTTTTGATATAATGTAAGGTAATTTATCCAATAACCATTTTTGTGTCGCACGATTTGATCTCGATGTAGTTTTGGATATAATGCGTATGTAGTAGTATACTTCAAGTAGAGATAACTTATGCCAAAAAATTTTGGGCCACCAAGGTATAATTATTACAGATACTCTACATAGAGAAATTATACTTTTGTGGGTCACCAAGTCAAGTAAAAAAAGTGGGTATCAAAAAAGTAGCCGATTCAGTAATATGTCAAGGTCATCAAAAATGTAGCTGATTCAGTAATATGTCAAGGTTATCAAAAATGTAACCGATTCAGTAATACGTCAAGGTTATCAAAAATATAACAGATTTGGTAATACGTCAAGGTTATCAAAAATGTAGCTGATTCAGTAATATATCAAGGTTATCAAAAAAGTAATATGTCAAGATTATCAAAAATGTAGTCGATTCAGTAATACGTCAAGGTTATCAAAAATGTAGCCGATTCAATATAATTCAATTTTTTTAACATAAAGCAAAGTATTCGAAAGCATTAATTATATGAGAAAGAGTTCTAGAATCGAAAAATATAGCAAACTTTTGGTAATACGTCAAGGTAGAATATTATAAGGAAAAAGGTAAGATAAATTTGTGCTTTGATGTATTACCAAATAGGGATAACAATTCGGCACTACGTGCCTCATCCTTGATCGATACTCGAGTGCATTATAATAGTTAGCAATTCGGCACTACGTGCCTCATTATCGGATGCTTTGGTGTATTACTAGATATGTTAACAATTCGGCACTACGTGCCTCATCATCGGATGCTTTGGTGTATTACCAGATATGTTAACAATTCGGCACTACGTGCCTCATCCTCGATCGATATTCGAATGCATCATACAAAGCCAGAATATGAATACTATTTCGGCACTACGTGCCTCAAACCTGGCCCTTATCGAGGAATTAACCAGAAAGCTAGGGCACTACGTGCCCAGTTTGGGCATAGCCCTCACAATGGACCCGCAAATGACGACACGCGACTGAATGCATCATCAGCTCAGCAATAAAAATCGGATGACACTGACGATAGTATCATATTTTTGTCGTCAAAAATGTGTCATAAAAATTATATCACGACACTGACGACGATGTCATATTTTTGTCGTCAAAAATGTGTCATAAAATATATATCACGACACTGACGACGGTGTCGCATTTCT